GACTTTGCAAAATACCTTAGAACAAAGATGTCAAACTCAAGGCCCGCGGGCCAGATCCGACCTATAGGGTACTTAGATCTAGCCCGCGCAGCCATCCTGGAAACAGCAAAGGATCGGTCCCCGGTGCCTCTGCCAATCACAACGGAGCTCAGAAGGACCACACGAAACCCTCCCAGGCTCTGTTTTTGGTCAGGACGGCTCCTACAGCCCTCTGCCAATGAAAACAGAGCTCAGGAGGGCGGCATGCCTTGCCCCTTGAGCTCCATTTTTACTGGCAGAGGGCTGCAGGAGGCCATCCCAGCCGAAAACGGGGTCTCAGGGGGCCACACCTGCCCCCCCAGCTCCATTTTTGCTGGCAGAGGGCCATTCCCTCCCCAGCCCAGCCATGTCCCCCCGGCCCCCCTGACGTCAAACACAATCCTCATGCGGTCCTCAATGAAGTCGAGTTTGATACCCCTGCCTTAGAACATCCCTAAGATGCTGAAAGATGCAGCATTTTTTCATGTCTTTATTCCCAACTACTTCACAACTGTTTTTGGATAGGATCTACTGCTATGGAATTGTGTATGCCATAATTTCAGGTAGTCCTCATTTTACAACCATTCGTTTAGCGACCATTGGAAGTTACACTGAAAAAGTTATACCAGTTATGACTGGTCCTCACGCTTATAAGCATTGCCGCAGCCACACACAGTCACATGATCAAAATTTGCCCCCTTGGCAACCAGCGTGTACTATTTAAAACGGTGGCAGCATCCCAGGGTCAGGGAGCTGGCATTTTCAACCTTCCCAGCCAGTGTCTGATAAGCAGAGTTAAAGGATGAAGTTGGATTCTCTTAATAACCGCATGATTCACTTAACAACTCCGCTGATTTGCTTAACAACCGTGGTTCAAAGCAAGGTCGTAAAATCAACTCACTCAACAACTGCCTTGCCTGGCCCCAATTGTGGTCATAAATCAAGGACTACCTTTAGGCCTAACTTCTTTTTCCTAAAAATGTTATCGAACCTGTTGCTCATCGCAAAGTCCTCTGGTAGGTGATTTTCTTAGCTAGCCTATATTCATTCAGTTGGGAACAAAGTAAAGAGCTGTGATTTACTTAAATATGATTGATTGACTGTGCCAGCATTGGTTTAGTTCTTACATTGCAAAGTTATTATATAAACCATGATGTATAATTTGCAAGAGACACATCCAAACCATTCTAAACTGGGTCAGGGAAAAGGGGATTGAGACATCTGTTGCTATATTTTAAGTCCGGTTGGTTCAGCTTTTGGGGTCTGACAGATCACTGTAATTTAAAATCTCTTCACTGAAGCAATATGGAAATGTTGACCATTATTCTGGTTCCTATCTGGCTGGTGGGCCAAATCAACTCCATCTTATGAATCTGGAGCAACTCTGATCCAGTAGATTCAGTGCTCTTTCCTGCCCCCTGGGCTGATAGGAAGATTGCTGATGGAGCCACTCATCATCTCTTAGTGCTACAGGGAGTCATGGACTCTGCCTTCTTCTCAGTGGAGCTCCCCTCCGCTGGAAGGCAGTATCAAAGGGATAGAAAGTAAAATCCCCCTTCAACTTGTGTTTGACTCCAGGTAACTTAATGGACAAGCCTATGCAATTTTCTTGTAAGTGGTTTACCATTATTTTATTCTGGAATGTTTTTCCACTTCTGAGTCCAGCCTGTACCCTGATCATCTCCTGCGGTAATTCTATAATTTCATTGGCCAAACAAGACCAGCTGAATGCTGTATGGAGCTTGAAGGGATAGCTTTACCATATCTTAAGTCTTTGGGCTGTCTGTGAGTGTGTGTCTCTCTCTCTCTGTTAATATTTTCCCCCAATATCTTTTAATGCTAAGTTGACCTTTTTCTCTCACACTCAGCAGACATGTTCGATGACTATCTATCTCAATCTTTTTCAGGTTTTTGGAATGGAAGGAGAAAGGATCTATTAATTTGGTCCATCCCAGGATACTAAGGGACCTAGATCATCATCTCCTTTTAACGACCCCATAATCCCTTTTGGGGTGGAATCTGGGCAACTGAATGGAGCTGAGTGGTTACTGGCCAGATGCCCTTCCTGTCACCAATGCAGAATTTTATTCAGCAGATATATTCTCATTGTGCCCAGAGAGAAATATCTGCCTCTACCTAGGATCGAACTCACAGCCTCCTGATTGTGAGGCAAGAGCTCCACCTCTAGGCCACCGCACCACTCTACTAAGGGGCCTAGATCAGTGGTGGGTTGCCCCCGGTTCGGACCGGTTCTATAGAACCAGTAGTAAAACTAGTGGGAGGCTCCGCCCACCGACCCCGACATCATCAGGAAGCTTCTGCGCACGCGCGGCCCCATTGCGAACCGGTAGTAAAGGTAAGTAGAACCCACCCCGACCTAGATGGTTTCAAAAAAAGTTTTTTCCCTAGAGATCTGATAGGCAGGTTGATTGAGGCTTACTTGAGAGATTAAATAACAGAAGAGATGTCTTAAGACAAGAGCACCTACGTGTGTGGGATAATGTATATTACGCATTACATTATGATGATAAGAGTAGCAAAACTGCAGATAGCCAGCCATGGGCCTTAAATGATACATCTCTTACTGGGGAAGGACAGTCACAAGGATATCTACATGGCCACTGTGAGGAATATTTAAGTATCTAATGGATAAGGTGCTTGGATTAGTTCTGCGTTTCCAACTAGTCAGATCTTGTCAAGTTAGCCAATGTATAGTCTTTTCCTATTACCTGCACCGTGTTTGACCCTGTGATTCCTAAAGAATTTGACTTTACAACTGAATCTGATTACCTGTTCGTTAGATCCACGTCCATCCATGCAGTGGTAAATTTATCATTGAAAGAGGGAATGGCTCAGCTTTACTTTGAATGATGGCAAGAAGCCATTGTTGGACCCAAACAGTTCTGGACAATTTTTATCTATGTTTTGGACAATTTTTGTCCAATTTCTCCAGCATTCTTTTATAGGGTACAGTTGATGAGAAGATGGTCAGA